AATTTATATTTATAAGTTATATTTTTATTAATATATAAGAAATTATGATTAAATTTAACATGAGTTTATTCACTCACAAATATGGATTGTAAATATTTATTTACGATTCATCTTAACATTTAAAAATTGTAAATAATTAATTGTATTATATTATAAGTGAATAAATAATAACGTTATTTATTCACTTATATTATTATTTATTATTATTTATCAAATAAAATAATTTATTTACGTAATCAAAAATTAAATATAAATTTTTAAAATGTTATTATTATTATTCATATACAGAAAAATATTTTTCAAATTATACCATAAGTTGTATTTTCTATCAATAGAAAAGTAAATGAAATAAAAGAAAATGTAAGAATAGTTTATTGAGAAGTAATGAAATATGATATTGAAGTTTTTAATACTAATTAAATGAGAATTAGTCAGTAAGTTGTAATAGTTTTTTACATTTTAATATCGTTGAGACGTTATAATTAGATTCCTAAGTGTTTTTAACATTATATATGTAAGCCTATAAATACAAGTTAAAAATTTTCTGTTTTCTACATATTAAATCAAAATGAGTCGGAGTTTTAAGAGCATAACACAATAAAGAACAAGGATGAGAACGTAACAGAATTTGTTTACTAATTAAATGTCGAATATTTTTTTAGTATTAAAATAGTAATTGTTAAATACCAATTTTAAAAAGTTAAAGTACTATACTGTACACCTAGTCATTTCTGTTTAGAAAGAAAATATCTTTCTTTGGTTGCATTTGGACTCCTAAATAAGTAGTCCAAATGCAACCAAATCTAGTATGATGAATTTTTTGGCCATGCAAAAAACATTTCCGTATAAAATTTAGTACCAAAACTCACCACAATGGTACTTTTGTGGTGAGTAATGGTACACACTACTGAAAAGAACAAAAAATGTTTATTTGCACAAGACAGTCATGCTATAGAGATCTTAGCAATACAGAGAATACTACTCAATGCTTGTTCTGAAGGTGTAAAACCTGAAGATAGGGAGTTTAACACCGGTCCTAATTCATTCACTGTGATGCTTATCACATACAGTGTGAGAATGTCTTTAAAGATGTCAAATTTGTATTATTTCTCAATAAACCATACTTTTTAAGTGTCTCCACAAACAACATGAATTAGGATGCAAATACTTCGTTCTCTGAATAGATAACACACGATTAATTACTCTGTTATTGGTGAAATGTAGAAATCGTTGTATGCAACGCCAGATGTATTGTGTCTAGGGATTGCAATCCAGCAGTGTTTTTAATTCAGCTGGATTTTTGCTGGACCAACAACATTCCAGCTGGATCCAGCGCGGATGTATTTTTGATGCAATAAAGTGTTATCTATCTATTTATCCAAAAATTTATCTATCCAGAACATTCTTTTTTAAATATTTAAGAAACTTTTATTATTTAGACTGGTCACTATAAATCAGTAAAACTTCTTACACATTTAGGTAGTAAACTTAAATTTGGTTCGATTTAACACTTGAAATAGAGATAATTAACTTTAAATGTTTAGTTAGATTATAATTATAATGTAATCTTTAAGTTAAATAATAGCAAAGGTAATTCTACTAATTAATTTATATTAATATATTATATTATAATAATGTAAGGACGGATAATCAGTGGCTAAGTGGCTATCAATCTTACCAGTTTTCTTATATAGGCTTTACATATCAGTCTGTAGTTATTTATAAGTAATTTAATTATTAGTGTTAGTAAAGTGGTTAGAAAGTAATTAGTAGTAGTCTAATAGCTAGTTATCATGAATCACATACATTCGTATCATCATATATCTAAGATACTGATACTCATTAATTTAATTAACTATTTAACTAACTAGGTAGTCTCAGCTTCTCACTAATTTTCACAATAAAATTGCCTAGCCTAGCCCACTAACCACTTATAGAATAAAAGTTAAAAACTTTTACTTAATAAAATTAGAGTATAAGTTATAAAATATTTGTCTTTATCTTGAATAAAGTATTTTAAAAAATTAAATAAAATTAAATCAATCACTTCTGTTATTTTTTTTGACTTTTCTGGAAGTAGGATCTCAAGAAACAAATGGTATTGATGGTGATGTCTTTTAACTTACTTCTTAATGAACTGCATATATATCCCGCTGCGGAGAAGGCCCTTTCTGCCTCTAGTTGGTTTCAGGGTCATCAAATAATCATAAATCAAAGATAAATTTTTACCTCTGACTCCCTCACTTTCATAAACAGCCATTTCCTTTTTTAATAACTTATCACAATCCTTCTCAGTACTAGTTTCTTTCCGTTTCATGAAGTTTTCCTTCTCACGCTTTAGTTGGATCTCCAATTCTTGTTCCAATGTGAAATTCAGGGTATTCGGGTTATCTGGATCATCGTTTTCCACCTCCGTAATATCCTCTGCCATTGCTGCTGGTTCCACTACATATGTATTTACACGATTCAGCATATTTTTCATCTCCATACATTTTTTTCGACATTGTGAAAATCGGGTTTTTTAACTTTTTGGTCATACTTCTTCGGGTTCTGTATGTAAATCAGCATTCCTGTGATCTCGTTAAGATGCCGTTCTCTGATTCTTTTGAGGAGTGCTTCGGAAAGGTTGGCACTCAAGATTGTATCCTGGCTTTTTAGTTTGTCTAGGACAAATTTCAGGGTTGTGTCAGCAGTTATCAAACTCGACTCTTCTGCAGAGAGCTTCTACGGCCAGTTAAACCGGTTGAAGACTGGTTATCAACTCATTGATTAGTGACCACTCGTCAGCGAAGAATTTAGTGTCTGAGCCAGTGTCTAGTAAAGCTTTATCAATGCAAACTTTTATACTGTAGAAACGTTCCAGCATGCTGAGGAGACTGTTCCACCTAGTGCGGCAGTCAAGAATCAAACTCAATTCTTAGTCCTTCGCTTCTTTTACATATTTTTGCAAAAAACATATCTTTGGTTGGTGATTTTTTAAAAGTCGTATTCTGTTGTCAAGTGTAGACCTCAGGATGGAGAGAGAAGTGGGCATTGATGTTGTTTTTTGAGTCAACGAAAGCTGCAGTCATGGTGTTGGTGGTTTTCGATCCGTCATTGGCAACAATGGTGTTTATATTTTGATGGGCTTCCCATTCCTTAAAGACGTAGTACTAGCCAACCGCGAGCGACAGCGAGCATGTCGGCATCAATATCTGCCGGACTGCCTGTTAAATACGCGATACGCTTATCGGAGAGAGCGACGCGACTCCCTATCATTGCGCGATCGCAAGAAAAAAGTATGAAAACTTTCTTATTTTTTTGTCTCCGGTAAAATATCGATTGAGCTGAAATAAAAGGTTTTCTATTAGCTAGTGACGGTCATCTCCCGGAGAGATAGGTTAGGTTTCGTGGATAAGCGGCGAGGCTGCAGCTTACCATAGGCTTAAACTGCGATCGTTTCGTCACGTGATTCATTGACGTCACAACCAACCGTAAATTAGAATTATGCACCAGGACTAGGAGAGGAGTTACTTATTTTATTTAGCGCGAAGACACTTTATTTAGCGAGAGCGGAAAGTCAACTGGCAATTAGATCAGCAGAGATAAAAGGGTGGGCGATGCGGTGTAGAGAGGGGGTGTAGCAAGTGCCGCACTGAACGGCAACGTCGCTAAGCCGCCAACGCACGTAGCAAAGCGGCAACGCCGACAACATAGACTTTTGCGCCATTATTTAGAAAGTTAATTGAGCATTTGCGGATCCGCAGTGCTGGATCCGCAAATGCTCAGTTGCGATCAGTTGCGACAGTTGGATCCGCAAATGCTTCAGCCCGTTGGATCCGCATCAGGTGCTGGATCCAACGGGCTGAAGAATGCGCTGGATCGAACTGTATTGCTGGATGAGGGATCCAGCAATTGCAATCCCTAATTGTGTCATTTTGCATAAAATGTAGTTGACTCGATACTTGTCGCTGTTGCACATGGTATACGGTAAAAGAATTGTGCATCTCTTATCTCTAGGCCATTGTGAAGCATATTACAAGTCCACTGGGACTAGTTTCTTCGAAAATAATAGTTATTTTCAAACATGAATTTTTTTAATACAAGAAATATTACTTCTGCAAATAACCTAATGTTTTGTTGTTTTTCAACCTAAATCTATATAAAACTGTAAATAATTTAAAATAAAGAGTTTTCTCTGTAACTCGAATATGTTTGAGAATAGAATAGATTATTTACATCTTTATTGTACAGTATATTGAATAATCGATCACTCCATAAAATTTTACCACCACTTTGGTCTCACCTTTTTATATGCTGTAGTCCTAAGAATATTTATTTTACAATGGTCAAGACATCTTTTTTTCCTTCACAAAAAACAAGAAATTTAAACGACGTCACCGGGATGGAAGAATCGTCAGGGAATTTTCTTTATGGATAGCCTGTATTGGGAATAAAGACACAAAACCTTTGGGCCGAACGAGCGAAACCTCCTAGTTAAGTTATAAATATAATATTTAATATTAATTTGTAGTATATATATTCATTATGAGAAGTAAAATGCGAAATAAATTAATTTACTCAAAGTGTAATGTTACGAATTTCGCTTAGTTTTACGAATTTACAATCGACAGATGACATGGAGAGTTCGGTCTCTGTGTATTATATTCTGTGGTATACACAATGTTTCTGTTTTTTTTTTTTGAAAATCGTTTCGAATAGCTGAATTTATGCTGTATATAATAACTACAGCATTTACTTTTATCTTAGTTTAAAGTCATTCCTATACTCGAACAATTCCAACATGGTAAGATATTTCGTATTATTTATCTTTGAATGTTATATTTGATTACTAAATAACAAAAATCATAAGATATTTAAAAAGTAAATAGAATAAACGATATTGCCGGATTTTAAACGTGCTATAATGTGGCTAATTAATTATAAAGATATTTGTGTTAGAGGTAAGCAATTAAGCATTTACTTTGTATTAAATTTAATATGAGGCATGTCCGGAAAGTAAGTACCGTTTTGGAAAAACTCGCATAAAAAATATTTTTTCAAAACAAAATTTATTTTTACATGAAAGAGCATGTCTGAAACTATTTTTCTACATAGTTACAACCATTGTTCAGACATTTGTCATATCGGGAAACCAACTTGTCTATACCCTCTTCAAAGAAAGATGCCGCCAGTGAAGACAGCCACTGCTGAACATCGGTTGTTGCAACAATCTCATGCAAAACAGTATTTGAAATTTGTGGAAACTCATCACAAAGCAATCTTATTGTGAACCGTCTGTTTTCAGGAATTTTTTCATTCACTTTTGCAACCAAACCATCATTGACAACAGAAGGCCAGCCACTCCATGCTTCGTCATGAACATCAGTGCGTTCAGCATTGAATTGTCGAACCCACTTTCTAACCATTCCATCACTCATTACATTTTCACCATAAATCTCTACAAGTTGACGATGAATTTCAACTGGCTTAACATTCTTTGCGTTCAAAAACCGTATTACAGAATGCACTTCACAATCGGCGGGATCGGCAATAGTCTTAAACATTTTGAACGCTCACTAACACGTGGAAAAACAACACAATCCGGCTGTAATGGCGTCACTGGACTGACAATCAACCAGAGAGACGTGTGCGCAGGCGCTGAACTGCAATACTGTACTACCACTGCAATGGCGGTAGAACGAAACGGTACTTACTCTCCGGACACGCCTCGTAATTTAGAATATTTTGTAAGAAACTATCTATATCGAGTGGAACTGGAATTCGCAATTCCTTCCTACCCTGCAGATACCAATTGCTCTACCCGTCTGATATTCGCTTCCAGACTAATTAATTTAGAAGAAATAATCGTACAAATTTACCTTTAGTATATGTAATGAAATATCTTTATAACTATCAAAATATCCTATAGTAAATTTATTTGAATGGTGTTATGCGCAATTTTTGATGTTGAAGTTACCCTGTGGAAGAGTTAATTTCTGTAATCCGATAAAATACGCAATGTGTGGAAGTTATTCCATTAATTGGAGATAACAATAGTAGCACAATACTGCAGTCCTGTACAAATATATTGCCAGTTTCGGATAAAATGCATATGACTACACAACACATGTTCATAGTTTTTTCGTCATAACTTATTTTACAGATTAGTTTTTATCATGTGCAACGTTTTCAAAATTGATTTTTATAGCTTTTTTTTTTTATTAATAATTGTATTTTAGTTAATTGAGAAAGTATGATTAATTTGTATAATTCCACTATAAATCAGCTTTTATAAATTATTCAACAATAATAATTGATAATAACTAATATTCTATTCATTTCTGTGTAAAAAATAATCTTTACTTAACGTTAAAACAATGGATTCTGGAAAATTAATTACAGAGAAACCAATTGTGTTAAGTAAGAACATACAACTTAATTATCATAATTATTAATTAATAAAACATATAATTAGCCTACAATGTGCTGATATCTCACACTAATTAATTAAACAATTAATTAACAAATCCTGTTTACAACAAAAATATTAATTAATTTTAAAAATAATACTAAAGAATTTACTTCAGATGCTAATAAATTATCAATTAAATATTTCATAATAGATGATTTACTTTCTACTATTGTATTTCTAATACCAAAACTCAATTGTGATGTAAGGGCATCTTAACACAGACAAATTTAATCAATAAACAAAATAAACATAGCATATTTAATTACAATAATCAAAGTTTTCTATAAACATTAAACTATTTGTACGCTAATATATAAAGTAGGTAATTAAATAAAATATTTACTTTCATCTTCATTACTTATTTATTTTAAATGCTGATTTTACATATCAGAGCAATATATACTTTTAATGTTTTACAGTTTATGATTTTGAAGTGGAAATAAACTATTCAAGTAAATGTACACATTCTAATTTAATTCTTTATAGAATCATATGTTAATATGAATTAAATTTATATAAGTTATGCAAATATATGAGTTAATGAAAAGTATCAGTTATAAAATTTATAAATCACTTGATTCTAAATAATTAATTGTTTAATACCTTATTGATCTTTATTTTATTTCCTTAAAACTTTTATAGGAAAATTTATTTTACTAAAGGAAATAAAATACAGAACTTGGATTTATTCCATTAATGCTTAAATATTTTAACATGATTAAAGTAAATTAAGTTTGCTAAATTTTAGTTTATTCAAAGACAAATAAATGTAATTTAGTGGACTATTTAGAAAATTAATTAGTCAATAACAATTTAATAGGCAAATAAATTAAATTTTTACACTAGAAACTGATCGGTGTTTTATCGTATTAATCAATTTTAATCTTTCTTTAACACCCATATATACAGGAAAACTTTTCCAGCCTTTTTTTACATTTATCGACGTTTTAAAATCTTATGAGTCCAAAAATTTAAAAGTCACGACTAAAACCAAATTTTAATGTTACATTACACATGCCAACATCATAAAAGTTCATCAATTGCCATTCCATTTCGTGAATCGTTTAACATTCGGATCCATACTCTCTAGTTCTAATATAGTTGCATTCAATTTCGAGAAGACATCAGCTGACTTGTTTACACTGAACTTATTTTGTACATTATTCTTTCTTCTTCCTCTTTCAAGTGCTATTACGCTTCCAATTCTCTTGCTCTTCCTTCGATTCTTTGTAAGTCATGCTCTTTCTTTTCGCTGACATTTTGTATTATGGAATGCACAATAAAGTACAAAATTTATAAAAGTTCAAACCATTTTTCTTCTAATAGAAGAACACAAAAATAAATTCGGTTTGTCTTTTTATTTGTTTATTTTCTAATTTCTTATGTGAGATGACAACTTTATTCTCTGCTTAAAGAATCCTAGAATATAAGTATCATCTTTGCTTATTAATTAATATTTTTTGCTTGTAATTATATATTTATCTTTATTCATGTAAAATAAAAATACACATTTATTGAAAGGAATCTATGAAATGAATTTGTTCTCATCAATCTCCGAAACGAGAAAATCTAATACAAAATGAATTAATTATTAAAAACAAGCATATGAATTAAATTCAGATATAAACAAGTATTTATTGTGACACTATCACATTGCCGAGCTGCAAGTTTTAATTATATTTTTAATTTATTTAATTTAAAATATATGTTCTCCACCTCAAATTAGTAGTGGCTTGCCCCTGTACATCATAGTATTCCTTTAAGAATAGCGTCATGCCAGTCATCTATCTAACTCCTTTCAAAGAAAAATATTTGAATTGAAATTCCAGTTTACACCGGAAATTGGTATACAGTTAATCGGAGCCTCCTCCCACTAAGATTTCCATACCTGGTCTCAACTTTCATCTATCTAACTCCGTTCCCGAGATTAAGGGAAAACAGACAGACAAACAGTCGAAATTTTTAAGTCTACAATTCTGTTATAGTCCGTTATATCGAGCTTTTACTGTATAAAGAAGTGGTAAACTTAATTATAAATTTACATTTATTTGCCGAGTAATTTTTATTAATAAATATCTTAAAATGATTTTATTTGTCAAAGCCTTCTACTGAATATTAAAGCACCAAAATATAATCGTTCTCAATCATTCTGAAGGGATGAAAGTTTAACCATATGTTGAAAAAATAACTATAATCTGATAGGAAGACACTAATGGAACATACTCCAAATGAAACTTGCCTTTCTAGAAAAACAACGGCCAAATGAATTGCGAGATGTATGTAATATAATATCAGTTACTCAGGAAACTAAATACGTCGTTAATATAGAAATAATTACACGAGGAAAAAAAATATAAAGAATACGTTGGTGGCAGATAAATTAGATAAAACTCCATTTGTTTCAGGTGACAGACAGCCACCACTAACGTTTAGTACTGAGGAACTAGTTCGAAACATCGCTAACTTTTAATGAATTTCGTGAAATTATGAGAAAGTAAAGCATAGTTCGTTAGCACAAACGATACAGTATCTTGGAGCCGACTATAGTGTTCATTATTTCCTCGATTCATTACTAGTACAGTATTACTAATTTTAACAATTATTATTCTTTTTTGTTGTTGTAAAGTCTTCATAAATCTTTATTCAAAAATCGAAATCACTTATCTTTCAGTAAAAACGTGGACACGAATCAATCCTCCATAGACTATGTAATTGCTTGTATGCACTGGCATAACTGCAATTAGATGACACCTCGTACTAACCGAAGTAAAATAGCTTTCTATCTATATTTTATCTGCCTATTCCATTTTATGATACTCTCCTTTAGCTTAACCTACATACGTTAATGTATTATACCTTGCAAATTTCTTATGCATTAACGTTTATTATGTAACTAGCTTACCCGTCACACATTGCTGCGATCACAGAAGAAACGAAATTCAAGCAAACTCGTTATAATAAAATTCAATTTACATTTTATCATTTTTATTGAAACTTATTATTATTATTATAAATTTTCATCGGGAAAACATTTCAAAGTGTCGTTTCAATTCTATTTATTTATTGTAGTGCTTGTGGATACACGATATTTTTTGTTTTTCCGTCTGGTGCGTACACGAATAAATC